TGTCTCAGCACTCAGTTCGCTGCTGGATGTGTGTGTTCGAGAGCTGCCCGAATAGTGAAGCGAAAAAAAGGCCAGGGCAGAAATGTAGATTTCCAGGAAATTGTGGGGCGTAAAATATTTTGCACAAAAGTTGTACAACAATAGCATTAACAAGGCGAGCAGAAGTGAAACAGAAACACCAGAAAAGCTGGAGCGTGTTGGCAAATATTCGAACAAATATTTGGAGTGCATTGAACGCTCGAATGCGTCGAAAACAATCGCCAACTATTTCCCATGAATATTCCTCTTCCGCTAAAGGTTTTGTTTCCCATTTCATCTACTATTTGCTTTTGATCTACCCACACACATTTTTCGCTGGCAAGTCAAGGTCAACTATACTGACTTTTAATTAGAGCGGGTCATAATTACAGACAGGCGGCCCACTTGATGGCCCACCACGCCCACAAAGGTCGTCGGTATCCGCACTTAACTTGGCTGTAATTCAAAGGCGCTGCCGGCTTTGTCAACTTCCTTGACAGTGCGGCCACGTGCGACACGCTCTGGGCGGAAATTAAAATTCTGGCGGCGTTTCAAAGGCAACAAAGCAACGGCGCTTGCAAAGCCAAAGACAAAGACAGACAGCAAAGAGCATCTAATAAAGTTTCGCGCGCGGGCTATGAATTTTCCAAAGCCAAGTTGTTTTTTGTTCCTCGGGCGGGCTGCTCTTCTATTTTCCGCCGGCGCTGAGACACGCGCTCTCGGTCTAGACACAAATCAAAGAACTACGTCTCGCACTGCCAATCAATGTTGGCCCTTTCCCGAGTTCATGCTGTGGATTCCAGCCCCTGGCTCAAAGTTGCATGGCGCTTCTTCGCTGAGCACGGTTTTAATTAACAAGATGCAACCATTCATACCTAAAAAAATTTATAAGATTCTGACAAAATAGATAAGCTAGAAATAATATACATATTTTTTTAAACAATCGTTTATGGCTATACAATTTGAATACAATTTTTAAGCAGTGTTCTGTTAAGGCATGTAAGGTAAAAAACTTTACAATCTTGAATTAATAAAAATGTAGAAAAGATTTGTTAAATGAATTACAAGATTATTTCATTTTAGTTAACTTTCTTCAATTGGCCAAATATAAAATCTAAATTTTAAGACTGAAGCCAATATTTTTAGTTCATGTCGATATATGTATAAATAGATTTGTTTTAAGCTTAAAAGTCTCTAAATGATTCAACATGTATGATGACACGATCTTAGGGAATCGGAAACAATTTTAAATGATCTGTTTGAACAGGAAATATTATTATGAGTGTGAGAAGTTATTCTTTGAATGGTGTGTAAAATGCCTGAAAACCTAAATATTTAAATTTAAGACCTACTTTTTATTGTCTATCTTAAAATAAATTAAAACTTTTTTCGGAGTGTGTCGAGATTGGTTGGCATGCAGATGCTGCCAGTTCTTCAATTAAGGTCCAGGGGAAGTTCGTTTATTGACCGAACCTGAGCTGGCAACAATTGTTACAGTTTATCCAAGTAAATAAACGGCTCAGATCGGGTTAACGAACGGCCAACAGCGATGGGTAAATGCAATTCTGTTCGCAGTAGGATTATTTATTTGACTTTCTTTGCCGACTATTTAATGGGATAATATTGTCAAGAAGCTGCCTGCTGAAAAGCTTTTAAGCGCCTCATTAAAATTTAAGTATGTTAATTGAAGCTCTATATAAAAAGAGCGCAAAGAATTTGTTATATATTTTTGAATACAACAAATATTTGTGTTTCTTAGCTATTTAAGTATTAATGATATAAGTTTCCTACATTTCAGAGATGTATGATGTATATAAAACCATTGTATTTAAAACAGAATCAATGTTATTGGAACATTCAGTTTTAATACAAATTCGCTGTTAGAATACAATAAATAAAATAACTATAATTTAAATTCTTTGTGTCTTTGATAAAAACAACGATGTTATTAACATTTTGTTTTTAATTTCTTGATCGTTTCTGTGGAACCTAAGAGACTTGTCCGACTTTTAATAAAATAAATTCGTATATTTTTCAATTAATTTTTCATCGTTCTGATAGATATAATCTAATCACAACATAAATATTTGAATACTACTACTAATAAGCAAATAGATCATTAATTATAGCAGAATGGTAAGGGCTCACAAAATTATAAACTTGAAGGCCAGTATTGTTAGAAATATGTTTCCCAGTTAAAGACATATTCACGTTTGTCGTAAATGATGCGCCGGAGACTTAATAATTTTCACTTTCGGTGTTGACAGTGCATGTAACAGTTTCCTCTCCGCCATCCTTCCGATTTTCGTCCTTTGCCCCGCTGATGCTGAAACAAAGGAGCTTTTAACATGTCTGCCTGCCAAAGTGTGTGTTTGTGAGCGATAGTGTGAGCGGGCGAGTTGAAGTAACCTTTGGCCGATTAAACATAAATCCCTATAAAGCAACAAAGTAAAAATTGCCAACGAGCCAAGTAAAAACTTTGGCAAAGTGCTCAACGTCTTGGAGCTTCGCTGCTTTCCACGCTTTCCTCGCTTGATGCCAAGGACGTGGTGCTGGGCGGTGGGTAGTGGGTGGTAGGTGGTAGGTGGAAAATCGGAGGCCTTTGAAAGCTGCGTTAATGCAAAGGCTAGGGGGCTAAAGGGCGGCTGAGTAATTTATATGCCAGGCACAAGATCATCGCTGTTAGAGCATTAAAAACTTAAATAGTTTTAATGCGACACAAACTATGCGGGAGTGGAGCCAAGAACACGACGAACAAGCTTCGCAGCCGCGCCCAAGGTGCGTATACTTAACGCAGCCTTAATTATTGTACTTCCCGGCAAAGGAGAATTTCGGGCGGGGGGGCTGGGTAAAGATTGTAAGCCAACATTCATAATGTGCAATGGCTCGTTTGCTCAGCAAGACGACAATCTTGTCCTTTATGCCGGTCTAAAGTAAATTTAAAGAAAAATGCAGATGGAAATGGAGACACAAACCCGGCTACAAGCTGCCTACGGAATTGATTTGAATGGCCAAGAAGCGCGGGCGGGGAAGCCCCGAAGAATAACAATAAACATTTCTATCTGCTTCATTGGTTATTTACTCATTTCAATAGAAGGAGATGGAGGAGCAGCAGCGCAGGCATCAAACAAGAAAAACAGCGGAAAAAGGAAAAGTTCCCTTCTCTGGTTTTTGTTTTTTTTGAAATCGCGAAAAGGACTTCACTTGATGGCAGCGAAACTAAAGCAGCCAAATAAGCAACCGCAGAGCAGGGTCTGCTGATTTTCTTTCTTTTTTTTTATTTCATTTCTGGGTTGGACCGAAGACAGAAGCTGCTTATAAAGCAATATACAATTCGCTGTGGGCGGCCAGGCAACAACAATCGAACCGAATCGATATTTTTCGCTGCTGCCTTTCGCCCACAGCCTCCTTTTCGTCTTGACTTTTTCCTGTCTTTGGTCCTGGCCAAAATGGATTTTTGGCACCCCCGGGGACCCGTTTTGGCCTGGTGTCACGGGCATTTGGGCGGGGTTAGGGGAAATGCACTCCCGATTTGAGCCTCCGATTCCGGCCACATATTCCTCCGCCGAGGACTTCAGCTTGGGAGTTTTCACGCTTGAGTCCGTGGTGAAGTTTTCCCATCAGCTGCTGGTTGAGGTTGGCTTTTCGGGCTACGCTTTTTCCAGAGCGGCGCCGACTCCCTGAGCGAGTGCCCTGTTATACCGTCTGTCATACTGCGAGAGCGCCGTATAAAGGGAAATTCGATGGGAACAGTTTGGCAAGCTGCTCTTATACTGATGAGAACAGGGGTTTAACTAAAAACACAGTGTATAGTGCTTATCAAAATAGGTGGAAAGCCAGCGAGGAAATCACAAACAATAACAAAGCAGAAAAAATAGGGAAGCTACAATTACATTGTTTATTCTGCCAATATAAAAAGTTTAACATTTCTTCCTTAAGTTTGTGTTTTTCAATACGTATAAAGTGCATTTAGGTCATGGTTTCTTTATAAAAATATTAATATACATATTCTATTCAACCAGATTGGTTTTTACTGCATATTACCATAAAAGTTGGAACATATAATCTTTGAAATTCTGTATTTTGAGATCAATCTAATATAATAAAGTAATATATATTTCGTCACAATACAATCTTGTGATTTGTTCAACAATTTTATAGGTATTGAAATAATAATCTATTTACTCAGTTGATTGCTTAATTCTTTCACTAAGAAGCTTATTTAAAATATTGGATAAATATATTTTTAAGTACCCACATTTTATGTTTAAACAATATATTACTAAAAATATTTTTTATTACCAATTAGTACCTACTAATTTAATCAAAGTTATAATACACTCTTACAATAAATTTGATTTTAATATTTTAAGATTATCTTTTGAAAGAATATAATTAATTAAAAAGGTGTGAACAATGTTTTAGAAAAAATCTTTTCATTATTTCTAAAATAATTTTCTGATTTCTTAAGTTAGATCGACCATGAATAATATTTTAAGATCAAATTGAACATATCTCAATTACATTTTATATGTCAATATGCACCAAATTTAATGTCATTAAAATATCATAATTATTTTTATGGAACTGCAAACTACAATTAGCTGGAACATGTTATCTTTTTGATCAACTCTTTGGCTTCTTTAATTGACATATAAATTAGTATTAATTTGCAATTGATAAATGGCATTTATTAAGCAGTTTACAGGCGGATAAATCACATCGAAAGTATAAATAACGTAGCTAGCTACTGCAGCCTCCCCCTTTTTTTCAAGCAGAGAAACCGGTGAAAGTGGTGCGCTCCCCCGCACTCTCTCGCGCTCTCTCTCTCGTTCTCTTTTGAGAGCGCGTATAACAGTTTGCCGAGTGAAAGACGACGAGGCACGAGGACACCCCGAAGACAGCCTGGTTTTCACTTGGCGGAGGCGTCTGCCTGCCTGGAAATCCGTCGAGCGTTGCGGGCGCAGCAGTTGAAAAGCGTTCGCCGTGAGCGACAGACACGCCGCAGTCGATCCGTTCGAGTCCGCTCCACTCCGTTCTGTACCGCTCCGTTTCGATCCGATCCGATCCGTACCCCGCCCGTGGATCGCTCCGCCGGACGAATGTACAAATTATAGCCGGAGTTGTGGCAGCTAAAACACAAGAAGGTGGCCAGTAGGTCAGCAAAGCCGGAGTTAACCCCTTGGTGTATGTGGCCCACTGTGCGTGTGTGTGTAGAGAAAGTGGCGAAAGCTGGGGCAGAACGTGCCACCATCTGAATTTTCCGAGTGCGCCGGGTAACGTGAGACGGGAAATTCCGAAAACAACCTGAAATCCATTTGCCGCAAATTGAGGAACCAGCGACACCACAGCATGTGTAAACGCTAACGAGCGCGAACATTTTGATTGATTTTGATTGACATGCCACTCAGCGCATGCCACCCATTACGAAAAAGTGACAGAAAATAACAGAAGGGGGAAAGAACTTGAGTAACAATCGTTGCAAACAAAAATCGCCACAACTATTCACTAAAAAATCAAACAAAGAGCAAACAAATATTGAAACGTTTGAAGCGCTTTCGTGCCTAACAAATAATTGCCTCAAGGGCTGTCAGCGAAAGTGCCAACCAAACTGGAAAAAATATATCCCACACAGGCCCAGAAACAAAATGCAATCAAATCAAGGCCCATAAAAACCGCACAAAACACGCTCGCATAAAGCCGGAAAAGCCAGCCGAAAAAAAATCATACAAAATAATAATAAAATCCACAGCATCAGGCGGCTAATCAACTACAACAAAATAACCGAAAAAAAGTATAAGAAAAAAAAACGCTGAGTTGGGCAACTGTTTTTTTCCGGCATCTCAGTCACATTTCATACTCCCTTGCTGTGTCAGTGTAGTGGTCTCTTTTATTTGTATACATATATATTTATATGTATTTGTGTGCCGCCTGCGTAAGAAAAAAGGATAAAATATGCCGGCATTGATTTTCTCCTGCGACAACAATAACAACATCAGCTAAACAACAACAACAGCAACATCCATAATAAGAAACGAGGAAAAGTTGCAGGAATCGAGGGCAAACTTTTTCGGACATTTTCGGTATGTTGTTTCTAATTTCTGCACTGTTTTAGTTATTCCGCTTGTTGTACATAAAACTCAACAATATTGCTGTCAAAGTTCTGACAGTTTGAACTTTTTATATGCTCGAACTCCCGTTTCCCATCCGCATTAAGTTTGGGGTCGAACTAAGCCGATTCGATATTTGTTATGCGGAAAGTTGCTTGTATAATTAGGTTAAATGCTTGTAAATAAACAAAAGTGTTCGATTTAAAAGAGTTGCGCAGGAAAAGTTTGGCATTGTGAGGACTGACTTCTTTTGGGGTTCGGGGATAAAGTTTTCGGTAGAGAATCTTGCAATGTTTTGAAGGGTTTATGCAAATAAAAGAGTACTTTCAACTTTGGACAGGAGCTCAAACTGATTAAACAGGGATGGCTTTCTCACGAATGGATTATCTGTTAAATTTTTCTGATATTTTTCTGAAACTGCCCTTGGGACTTGTCATTAATTTGTTAAACATTCAATTAAGCTTGTGTAAATTACGCATGTCAAATGGTTCGCAAGCCCGAGCCCTTCCGTCTGATTAAACCCCTTTGATAAGGTCATTTAATTGCCAAACACACAAAGTACCCAAAAGTAAAACTTGCTGATTTTTAAAATGTTTGCGTTGTGGCCTTTGTAAATTTCAAAAAAGGGAAAGGTGAAAGAACCACAACAAAGGACCTCACCCACAGCTGCTCGAAGTCGGCACTTTTCGGGGGCAACCAAGGGTTAACCTGTAAACATTTGGAGGCCCACAGAAAGTCCTGTGTTTGACTCGAATTAAAATGGATACAAGGAAATGCCGAAGGCGATGCCTTTTCGACGCTGACGGCGTGCAAATGAGAAAATTCATTATTTAACATTAATTAAGGCTTATTATGCACATTATCAACACAGTGGAGCAAACACGCACACAGGCGCAGAGCGAAACACGTATGCTAACCGCATTAAATGTCAGTCAAAGACTCGACTAAGTAAACACAAGCCAATGTACGTTCCACTTTGTGTGTGTGTGTGTGCGTGTGTGGTTGATTGTCGGCTTGTGTGTGTGTGGGCCTGTGGACAACTATCAGCCAACACACACACTCTCAGCCGCACAGGTGAAACTTTTACTTTTCCACCCAGCCCCAAACCCCCAAAAGGAAAGTCAGGTTCATAATTCAAAGGCCGTCAGTGGAAAGCGAGGGTGGGGGGGGGGCGACATGGTGGTGGCCAGCAAGGAGCAAACAGGATGCGAAGCGGCAACAGAAAAACAACAGGGAACATATAGTGAATTTACCAGGAATGTGGTAGACCAGATGGTACCCAGGAATCAGACTTATCTTCTGCTTTTAGTGAGATTAAACCTTGACCTGCTCTCTCCTTTGCTGTAAAAAAATAAAATTAATTAATTTAAGACTAACATCGAAATTTGTATATGTTAAATAGACTTTTTTATTTATCTGCTTAAACGTTTCTAAGACTTATTATTATTAATTGAATATCAATTGAATATGGTGTGATTTTTCATTTCGATCTTTAACTTATAGTTTAGATATCTTTATACTAACTTCTAACTAACTTTTATACAAATTCAATTTTTATGTTATTTTAATAATGATGGGGATTAATATCATTGTATGAATAGTAATAGTAATTTATTATTTAGTTTAAAAAAATGTCAACTCATGGAAATTTTTCATTCTATACCTGTTTGCCCGGCCCAAAATGCCCATCCGGATAACTTTCACCTCCCGCTGGGTGGGAAAGGTGTTTAAATTATTCAGTAAATTGTTAAGTAAATAACACGAAAGGCGCACGTTAAAAAGCAACGAAAGACAACAATAACAGCAGCCAGAACAACAGGCTCAGACATCAACACCCATCCCCCCACTCGTGTCTATGGCCACTGAGGAAATTTACCTCTCACATGGCGATGATGATGACGATAATGGTGGTGATTCTGGGGCTGGTGATGGTGCTGATGCTGATGCTCAGTCTGCAACTGAAAACGAGCCAGATGATGACACGCCGCACAGTTCACGGCTCAGCGGAGTTGCCGGCAGCAAATGTACAATAAAATAAACACCAAATGTGGAAGGCTAGCCCGAGGGTTTCCAAATGGAGGGCAGGGCGAACGGAACGGGACATAACGGAACGAAACGAAACGAAAACAAAGCCGGAAACGGAAGCAGCTATGAGAGTTCAGGCGGCTGGAACGACGCACTCTGAACCAAGTAAACAATAGCGAGAAATTTGTTAGCACAGGAGCAGGGAAGTCGATGCAGGAAAGTCGAAAGTAGACAAAGCCCTATTGACTCACCTCAGAGGCAAGTCCGCCCTCGAAGCAGCCATAAATGTGGAGGGTTGAGGGTGGAGGATTCAGGTTGGCTAAAAGTATCAAAAACAATTGCACTTCGCAGAAGCCGATGAATAATTCCGCATAGACAATTAAAAATACAACCCTTTTTGAGTGGGTTCCTCAAATACATATTGATGAGACCTGGTTATATTTAGATATTTTTAATATATTGTGATTATGGCTTAAAATTAAATAAGTTATAGTGCCTATTAATGTCAATTACAAAGGTACTTTTCAAACTCTTCGTAAAGTCTACTCTTGAAAAACATCCGTTGGATGCCACTGCATTTGCCATAATTGCTTGCATAATATCGCACTAAGAACTGAACAAACATTTGATTTGTTTTTATTCTAACAGATTTTAAACAAAAAAATTTTTTTTCTTTGGCATTATACATTTGAAATTTGGAAAAGTGAATCGTTAACCAAAGAAGCCCTTTACTTTTTCGACAGCCTTCGAAATTTTTAGGAAATCCAGCCAATTGCGCTTTTCTCCTGACTGCGAGCTCTGTACAGGCGTCCACGGTACGAGTTGGCCATCTGAAACCTGCTGCACTGGCTCAGTGTCCTCAGTACTTTCAGAAACCTCGGGAATCGGCGAGTCTCGTGAAGCATTATTTTTGGGGACGCGATAGGATTCCCTTTCCTGAGGGGTCATTTTGCGCCATAAGGATGCGCCCTCCACGGTCAATCGGTGGGGGTTACTGTGCCGGAATTCGCGGATGAAGTTTTTGAAGGTCCATAGGCTGCTGCTCCGGCGGGCCGGTACCGTTGGGCGACTAATCTGGACTGCAGGGGCAGTCGTGGGACGTCCCCGCTTTTTGGGAGAGTTTGCGGCGGGTACTAACCCGCCACCAGCCCTCTTATTCAACCGCTTCACCGGTTTCTTTGGAACCTTCTTTGCTCGCTTGGTCTTTTTTCGGGGCTCCTCAACATCACTGAGTTCCTCGGCATCTGTTTGCTGATCAATCCCATTAAGGTCATTACAATTATCCACTTGCGACAGTAACTTCAGAACGTACTTTTCTGGTTTATAGGCTTCTTTTTTCTTCAGAGTCATTTTAGCCCATTTCTTAGTTGCTTCCTCGAGATTATCCTTGGGTGAGTTGCCATGGACTAGAGAGAAGTCCTGCAGAAAGTTGGCAAAAGGCGTACTGTTCACGGACACGGTAGAGGTGCACATTTCATTAATTTCGGAAATCGAAGGACCTTCCAATTCGGATTCCTCTATAGTATCTGAGACAACTATATCCCTCCTTGCATTATTCGAATTTGAAACACTAGCTTGCCCACTAGCGTTCTCCGAGGAAATGTGAACTTCCGCCTGGATGGTGAAATTCGAACAACTCGAATAATCCAAGCTCCTAGGACTCTCAAGAACCTCTAAGTCTGTAGCGTCCAAGTTCCTCAATTTGAAGGGCCCTTCCGAAACCTGCTCAATAGTGGCCATATCCAACTTGTGGGCCATGTCAATTTTGTACCTTTCGTAAGAGAATTCGCGGCGCTGTTGTTTGTTAAAGTTGGCCCATGTTTCACTGGCCAATTCCTCAAGCTGACCGTTTTGTATCCAATCGTTCTCCTGCTTGAAGCAGGCCACGAAGTTCCTAAATCCGTTTCGAGTGCCTCGACCTGGGGTTGATCGAATCACTTTTCGCTCTCTCAAAACGGGCGGCATTTTGTACTTCCTCTGTATATTCTGTATATTTCTATGTTATCTTTAGTTGGTGGATATTAATATTGGTTATAGAAAGTGCCACAAAGAAAATATGTTGCAATGAAGAGCTTATGTTGGAACAATGCAGTTTTCGGCAGCTGCAGACTAGAATTTTAGTACTCCATGAAAGTGTATGTAATTGAATGTGTGAAGAAAGGTTCTTGCACCACAGATATTTTCTTTGCAACAATTGTTTTGGAAAAAAAAAACGGAATAAAATATTTACCTTGAATTTCAAACTGTGTACTGCGTCCTATACTGAATGAACTATACTGAATGAATAAAACTAGACGAACATAATGGCAGGGGTAACTGAGATTTAAGCCTTTGTACACTTTCTAAGGCAACCGAGAATGTATATTTTTTGGTAATTTTTAACCTATAAATATCGAAGATTTATCTGCGCACACCGAAGGAAAGCAAACAGTCCAGAGCTCCTCCAATTCGCAGTTTCTGGGCCGCAGAGTGCTCAGACGCAAATGACATGCAAAATAAGCAGCAGAACCGGTGGAACCAGTGGAGGACCCTGAGCAGCAGCATCCGGGCCACTTACTGAGCCCCAGACATCCGCTAGATAGGGTTTATTAGGGCACCGAGCCAGGCGCCGTAATTTATGCGGGTTTCGAGTAAAAATGTTTGCATAAACTTTATGCAAAAATATGCTCTGGCCAACGCATGCTGGGTTTTCCTGCGATGTTTGGTTGTGCGGTAGTGTGGGTGTGTGGGTTGCAAGGACTCTTGGCAGAAAACTCTTGGTCCGGGCACATTAACAGAAATTGATTTTCGATTTTTCCCCCACTCGCTCGTTCATTCTGCTCGGAAACAAAGTCTGGAAAATGCTTTCTAGCTGAATTAGAAAATAAAGCAATTTGTTTTGCGCATTTTGTGTCGTTTCGGTTATCCTGGAAAAAGTTTGATTAGTTTGTTTTGCATTTGTTTTTGGGGTGTTGGGTGCGGATAATGTTATTAATGTTTCTATACAGTGGCCAGGGAGTTTATCGAACTCTTTGGCCAACATTCTGTGCCAGAGCACTAGAACACTGGCCGAAAAAAGCTTTGGCAACATATTTGCCGAAAGTTTGGGTTTTGGGGATTCAAAAAGTTTGCCCGAGTGTGTTTGAGGATTTTCCATGAGTGCTGTTGTTGTTTTTTGTTACACACTTTTAGCCACAATTTTCGGTAAGCCTTTTCAGTAGGGGCGTTTAAGGTGCAGCCAGGTCAGTAGGATCCCAACCTTCTAGCACTTTGCACAAATGCACTTTGACTTTGCGCGGTTTACTGAGAGTTTACTGAGCGAGTTCAGATGGAAAGGCTTAAATGTTGAAAATAAGCAGAGTCGCAACATTGTGGGCTTATTTAAACAAATATTCATGTCAGTGCTGCTCACATTTTATATTGGTTTTTTAAATGGAATTATAACAATCATAGTACAGTTAAATAATCTGTGCTTGTAAGAGGCGAAAGATTTCTACAAGATCAGAAAATCAAAAAAGGCCAGATCATGTTGGGAAGGATATGTTATTTATGGATCCGTAGTTTTGCACCTATAAAAATCGGTTCTGATTTCATAGTTTTTTAAGGCATCTTTTCGGAAATAATCTAAAGTATCAAGCTGTTTCGTCAAATACAGAATATCCGTAACTCTACTTTTAATATAAGATCAAAATTTAGTATCTGTTCTTATCGTCTTAAGTTCAAAAGACTAAAAAACTAATTTTTAAAAACTACGGCTCAAATATGATATTAAAATCACAAATATTTTTAAACAAAGTATTGTTTAATTAAGTCTTAAGGGAATGAAAAGGAGTTCTGCCGGCATGATTCACATTGTAAAATTTTATAATGACAGCCAACACTTGTACGAAAAGTTGAGCAAAAGATTTTTGTGAAATATATAATACGTATTTATTTCAAACACAGTCATGAGCTTATAAAAATTATGAAACAATTATACATTTCTACTAATTTAGTTTGTTTTGCTGGTATACTTCATTAATTTTGAGAAGCGTTATAGTGTTGTTTCATCGGAACAGTTTCTTTTCGCGAGGGGTCATTTTGCGCCAGATGGAATCGCACTCAACGATTAGTCGACCCGGATTTTTTCGCCGGAATTGACGCAAGAAATTTTTGTAGGCCGATAAACTACTGTTTTTGCAGACTGGAACTAAAACTGATGGACGAATATTTCTTTTGATTTTGGTGGATTTCTTCTCGATCTTCCTTACACGCTTGGTTCTTGATTTCGGCAGTAAAGCCTCATAGGATTCCTCGGGATCATTTCGTGGTTCAATTAAATAACAATCAGCAAGATGGGTACTATCACAATCCGAGCAACTACTGGTTGTGCGATTACGGAATTCTGCAGAAACCGAAGAAAAAACCCCATTTTTTGAGGAATTTTTGACCGGCTTTACTTTTGCACTGAGCCGTTTGACGGGTTTTCGCGGCTTTTGGGTCGATATGTTCTCCTTCTTATTTTGCCGGTTGGCTCTTGGTTTTGTCTTCTTAATCTCATTATCCACGGAGCTCTTGTGATTTATATTAGTATCAACATCCATTGGCGTCTTAACTGGATCGAAAATATCATCACAATTATAGCGCTTTGAAAAAAGCTTAAGGACATAGTTCTCGGCTTCATAAACTTCCCTTTGTTTGTCCGACATTTGGGCCCATTTAACAGCAACTTCGTGCACATTTTCCTCGGTGTCATGAGCAACGTAAAAATCCAGGAGAAAGTTGGCAAAGGGTTTATCCTCCACAGTGATGGAAGTACTGGATATTTCAATAATATCAGTGCTAGAAAAATCAACCATTGGCAACTCCTTCGTTTTCTCAAAGTCCACATGGCCTTGTGATGAAATATTAGAATCCGAATTAATGTCTTCCCCATCAACTGTCTTTACTGAGCAATGGTCGCTTAATATCGACGATTTTGAATAACGCAAGATCGTGGGACTTTTAAGTACCAACACATCCTTCTGTACTTTCCCATTCGTAGGTTTTTCCGTAATCTGTTTAAAGGGTACCATTTCCAGCCTGCGTGGCATGTCAAATTTGTTTTTATCGAAATCGAACTTCCGATGCTGACTTTTGCTGAGCTCTGCCCATCTTAACCTGGCTAAATACTCAAGTTGACTGCCTTGCATCCAACTGTTCACCTGCTTGAAACAGGCCATGAAGTTGATGAATGCATTTTGGGTGCCACGACCTTGGGTTGATCGACTTCCCATCTTTTCCCTTGTAACAGAAGGCATATTGTTTTTCCGCGTATTTCTGTGTTATTTGTTCTAAAAGGGTGGTAAATTTAGAAACATATTAATTAAAAACACAACTAGTAAGTGGGTATAATGTTTTAGCTTTCTTGCACAGCTTTGTCTTAATTTAAAGCGCTTATTTTGGAAAATATAAAAAAAGGGAACCAAATATTTACTTTGAATTGCACAATGTAGACTTTGGGTTATACTAAATGAATACAAATTGACAAACATAAACACAGTGGTAACTGTGATTTAAGATTTCTTATATTTTCTGAAGCAAATGTAAATGATTCTTTTTGGTAGCTTTGAATCTATCTTAGTCACAGACACAAAAGACATGCTAAATAATAGTAATAGTAAAATAATGTTTCGAGTATTTCTTTCTTTGCTCAAATAAAAAAGACCATTACTCATATACGTTTTTTCAATCAAAAAACGCAATTTTACTTAAAATTTGTGAAGTTTATTCTGGCAAGCAAAATTGATTGCCTAATTTTGTAGGTCAAAGCAATTGGCAAGGTGCTAATTCGGTTTCGAGTCCCAAGATCAAAGACTGCGCTCCAATTTTCACTTCTGGGTGCCAATCTGCTGGCACCCCACAGCCTTGACCACATTCCCCGCTCAAACTGGCCGTGACCAGAAACAAATTGGCGTGCAAAGTGCTCGACAAATCAATTGCAATTACCCGGCCAGTCTGCCATCGGGGAAATGGGGCCAAGTTGAGGAGGCCAAATGTAAAACATTAAATAATTCCATTCTGCGCCTGTTATGCGCCGCAATGGGCCACGAGCTCAATCAGAAAGTTATCCAAACAAATTGCAAACGAAAACACAAATGAGATATGCCTTCGCCGGGGATGCTTTCGGCCGACTTTATTTCTGACTTTGCATTTACTTTGTTTTTTTCCCGGCAGCAAAAAAAAAGAAAGCGGGAAGGAAAATCAGGCAACAATAACAAGCGCGGCAAGGGCTTACTCAATTTTTCCGCGGAGAGCGAAAGCAATTTCCGTTCGTTAAACCTACATTTCGAAATTAAATTTTTTACACTTGAGAAGTTCGCAGCTTCAAATATTTTCATTTTGCCTCAGACGCAGCGCAATTATGCGCCGTCAGTGGGTGTGAGTGGGTGTGCCAGGGCCTGGCAACCCTGGCCTACTCGAAAGGGAACCAGGCAACCCCCAGACCCCAGTCGAAACCCATTTCTGGGAACCCCCATCCCCACAGCTTCAGAAAGTGAGTTGTAATGCGCTGTTAGGGCGTGACGCCTTTAAAACTTTGCCCCTGGGTTGAGGGTTGAGCTATATCATCGACTACGTCATACCCCTTGAGAATTCTCAGAAGAAACGTCCTTAACTTTATTTATTCGGGTTGGAAACGGTTGCCTTGTCGACTTTAAAAGAAAATAAATAGGGATATAAAGAAAATCTGTGGAAAATTGATTAAAGACTATGCACAAATTACTAAGGTCTATTGGGCAATTTAATTTCAGCAGTTAATAGATGGTATTTATATTTAAACAGAGGATTATATTATTATATACTTAAAACATAAATACATCATAAAACGAAAAAAAATAATTTTTTTTGATTGACAGCCCATTAAAAATCTAAAAAGAAAAAATATTTTTTATTTTTAAAACTTTTAAGACAAATTCGAGGAGGTGCTACTGCAGTTATTATCAATAAAATTTTTGGTGGCAGCCAGTTTGTGGGACATTAAAACATTTCATTAAAGTGCTGCCATTTAAAACACTCAAAGCGAAATACCCAAAAGCAGAGTCTCATGGGGTACTAAAAGCAGCCATCAACAACGTGCAGAAAAGCTGAAAAATATACACGAAAATATTGCTCAAACAAATGCCGAGTCTCGTCACCCCCCGACCTTCAACTCCCCATCCACCCATCCACCCACTCATTACTTCTTTCGACGTAAGGAGCGGAGAATAAAAAGTTTAGACTCTGTTTGCCGTGGTTGCCCCTCGTGGTCTGCGGGGAAGGACAAACAAAAAATGCTGCCGAGTATTAAATATATATTGGGGAAAGTGCGGAATTGAAGCCTCCGCCTCCAGGAGATGAAAATATTATGCTTGCTTTTCATTATGTTTTCCGTCGCTGGCTCGACAAATTTCCCTGGCAGCTTAATTGAGGCATTACTTGTGTCATCGATTTTCGGTGGGCTTTACTTTTGAATATCGTACGGGTATCTGATCACACAAACCGCCTCGATCCCATCTAATTTATATTATCTGCTTAATTTATATGGAGGACGAAATTGCAAAACAACAACCCTATGTGTAGGAGATAAGTCTCCTTCCTTCACTCTCGTTAGGCCAGAAAAAAGGGAAATGTTGGACAAAAATTGGAATAAAGAAAAAGGACCGAAGACCGAGGACCGCCAATAAAATCTGTTTTATTTGCATGCCCCTGGCGAGGACAGAGACGTGGCTTTCTTTTTGGTTATTCGAAAGGGGCCCGGGGCTAATAAACGGACAATCAGAATTCGAATAAACTGGTTGCAATTTGAGCTGAGGGGAAACGGAATTAAAACGAAAGTTTACGGTATTTTTATTGGATTGCAGTACGAGTTTGTTATTTGCAGTAAACAAAGGGTTGGGCTTTGAGGGCATCGCAGGAAGTTCAAGTTGTAGTTATGAAGTTGCAAAGGTCAAAGGTCCCGAGCCACGCCCCTGTTCCTGCAGGAATGCACCAAGAAAAGTTGGGCGACGCGTCTGGCATACTACGAGGCCATTAAATAGAATATTTAATTTTATTGTTGGCCCCGCAGCCTTATGGCATTGTCCTTTGTCACCAAAGATACATGACAGACACCCACAAAAGGGTCAGGCTGGCTGGCTGCTCTCACAATATGAAGCGGCGCGCATTTTTCGAGGCTTAGCTACAAATTTAAATTCCGAGCATGCTGCTGCGAGGCCTCCAAAGGCATCCAGCATCCAACACATATTTACATATTCTCCCTTCCCGTCTCGCTTTCCAAAATTTCCCCGAGTAAAGCCATTTTATATTAAAAAAAACGGAGGAACAAAACAAAATGAAACGAAAAGTTTTATACATTTCTAATATGAAACCCTTTTGCGTTGTTTTTTCAAAGCCCTTTCTTCCTTTTTTCAGGTTACTTCGGACAACTAAGCTGCGGATGATTAAAACGATAAAAAGGTAGGCTTGGAAAAATTTCAGACAGCTTTAAAATATTGTTTTGGGAAAACCGAATAAAGTTAGTAAAGGCACAATTAAAAAAAAGTTGACGCCATTCAAAATTATTGTTTTTATAAATACTTGCCTTTCAATGTAAAATCGGTACTGAAAAATTAATCCCGTTAAAGGTAAAGGTAAATGTAACTTACCTTTTATTTAATTTTTTTTGTATATCTACCTGTTGTTATGCAAATCAAATTAAATATGCAAATCAAAAGCGAAAACACGGCTTTGAAGTAAGTTTTCAATTTTGTGTAATATTTATTTCCTTTGTGCTTTTTTGCCATCAAGCTGTCATGTGCTTGAGCTTCATTTATTTATGATTATATTTATTTATTTATAAATGTTATGTGTACATATGGGCGATTCGTCAAAAACGCATGCAATATTTCATTGGGGTTTAAAAACAATATTTATACGCTTGCGGGCCAAAAGTAAAACCGAGAGTTTTTTGCCTGTTTGTTGAATTTTCTACTTTTTTCTCCTTTGGGTAGAGGCTTTATTAACTGAACGGCATAAAAATGGCCACAAAAATCGCTGGCAATGGCCATGTAAAAGTAGCGCAGACAAACGGCATTCGCAATAAAAACGAAATTGATTTATGAGTAGGCTTGAAATGTTGCCATTTTGCCATGTTGATGCCAGCTATTTCAAGCCCAATGAAAATGAAGCGCGGTTTTTGTCAACGTCCTTGACAAGTGTGCTGATGTATATCTGATCATCTAATTTTTACTTTTGCACTAAATTAAACCGCTTTTTCTTTAATTTGGGCTTTGCAAAATAACACATCTCGGATATTTTTGGTAATAATCAGGGTTTGGAGTAGAAGTAATTTGAAAAGTGTCTTGTTTAATGAGGGTCACAATTAATATTAATAACTATAAAAGGGTCAGCAATTTAAAACATTAAGTGCAAAAAATAGTGAATATAAAAACAAAACTTTTAAAAAATTTGATAAATTTTACGTGTATTACTCTTCCATTAATATTTATTCTTTAAAAAGTTTTGCTAAATACATAGTTAAATTGGTTTCTGATTTAAAAACTAACAACACATTTTTTGTGTGTTTTTACACTTGTTCATTTAACACCAAGATATCATTGTTCTATCCTTCTATATCCTTCATCAATATGCCTTCATATTAACCATAATATTTTGTATTTTATGCCGATCAAGACTGCTGTAAGCCCTTCGTACATTTTTTACTTCACCTCTCTGTAGTGCTTAAAAACGAAATTACTACAATATATTGCTTGTATTGCATTTAAAGTAACCCTTATAATAAAAGCTCTACCTTGAATGGATATGAATATTCAACCAGTATTCTTCGCTGTTCATTATTATTCCTTATACACTCAATTCTCGCCAGTTGTCTCCAAGTTATCTCATTAGATGTACTTGAGGTTGGCGAGGTGGAAAATGCGGAGGAGAATGGCAACATTTTAATTTCTTTTTAATGCGGTACGAACTCATGGTCTTAGCTTCTTGCTTGGGGTAGGCCGAAAAATTAATTATCGTTGGCAAACACGCCCCGCGAAGAGGGTGGAAAAGTGGGCGTGGCGTGGAAATCATTGCAAGTGAATTGTAAGCCGCTGGAACTGAGGCTCCGTTTTTTTCATTACATGAGCGTTGTTAGGCTAAAAATAAATTGCTTATTAAAAAGCCTTCCCAGCACATGCATAGCCGGCTTGGTGGTTGTGGGAGTTGCCGAAGGGGTGGTGGTGCGGCGGGTGGATCCACTCATTTACACTTGAGGGGGCACCACAACGTGGTGGGGTGGGGGGTTGAAGCTGTTGGCAGTGACAATGCGGAATAGAGCGATGGAAGCAGACATCCTACTGGGTGTGAATGACAAAGCCGCCAGGAATCCCTCACTCTCACTCCCCCTGCCATCACGCCCCTTTCTCCGTCCGTCTGCGCCCCTTTCTCCGCTTTCCCCGCTTTCCCCGGGGCTTCTCCACTAAGCGCGAGAAAGTCCTTGAAGCAATCGACTTAATGCCTGGCTGTGGCGTTTGTACATATTTAGTTTGCATTTACATGGCACACACAGACACAACAAGGACATCGGCATACACAGCACTGAGAGAAACATGGAATCAGAATAATAATTAGTTGTGTAAAAAAGTTAAGCTTGTTTGGAGACACATGAAAATCCTTGAAAAATTTTACATTTTTTTAAAAATTGATTCCCAGAGAAAACAAGCAAAAGCTTTGGGTGCAAAAACTAGGTCAAAATCATTTTAAGAGTTAAACTCTTTATACAAATTTGGTTTTACTTATACTGTACGTTTTTGTCATGTCTTCATAATGTTTTTCAACCTAAAATTGTGTATTACAATTTTATTTGTTTTATTTTTTCCACTTTTGGTTAAACAACATACAAAATTATTATTAAAGAAAAATCTGGTATGAAAAGTATGGGTTAAAGTAAAAATTAAGCAGCTTACTCAGATATTAGTAAAAAAATCAGTAACATTATATTTTTCATTTAGATTCCTTTCATAAAAACAGCTATTATCGAATATTTATTTTTAATGGGTATTATATAAGCAAACAAATTTGTTAAAAATTCATAAAGTTATATAAATGTTATTTAACAAATCACTCATAACAAGTTCTTTTGGATAAGAGAACGGGCTTGTTTCAGTGTAAGAGGCTCCAGCTAGCACATTTAATTTTCTACACATTGCACCATGTTCCGATAGATTAACTGGTTATTGGGATGCCACTCCATCTATGTGCTCTGCCCGAAATGAGCGCTTTATAAATATGTCCTCGTCAGCGTCCGAGGTGGGGACAATTTGCCACTCCCCCTGTCTTTATCTTCGCCAGGACCTGGCAGCAGGTCTGATTGGATAGACCAGAGTTCGAAAGTCAAGGTATCCTCCCGTCCAGTGTGGGTGATTGCGTGTGCTCGTGTGCGTATCCTGCACGCTCCAATGAATTTTTGTCAACGTGATTCGCATTAGAATGTGTATTCAAATGAGCACATAATTTGTTTGTTTGCTTGCTTTCCAGCTACCCCAAGTCTGTAGGTATTAAGATATGTCTACATGTGGGATTGGACTTCCTGGCAATGGGGTGATCGACCTGGCGATGCCAACTAGCAAATAAACTGAAGGCAAGTTAAACAAATATATACGTTGATGTTTATGTTAACAAACGTAATATTTGATGATCTTATTTCTTGGAACAAGCATTTAATATAAATATTCCTCTGTGCACTATCACATATCTAATTTTGAGTCAGGCCCTAAAAGCATTCCTTTAAATAATAAAAAACATTATTAAATACAAAATTTGAAATGTAATAAAGATAACGATAATTTAAAAATATGTTGGGATCTTTGCTATGAAATAAAAATGGCACAGATGTTGAATTGTTAGAATTGTTCTTAACGAAATAATTAACTAAGTTCAAAAACTTTACATACTAAAATCCCATAATACCCTCTTTTGCACTGGGTAGCACTTCGAGACATAAATATCGAAGCGTGCGGAGCTGAGTATTTGGCATTTTATGAGTGCAATTATGTGTGTGGCAGGGTGTGTGTGAAATAGAGACCCTCTGGGGCCAGGAAATAGGTGTGAGGCCTGCGTTTGATATAAATTTCGAACAAATTACAAATAAATTGGAGTTGTCGTGGCTGCGCCATTGTCAACCCCAAAAGCAATCGCTGCCGAGAGGCCCCACTAGTAATTTAAAATATGCAAATTTCCCAGAGCTCTGTACCAACCCTCTGAGCCCAGACACACCCCCCAGTTGGTGGAGTATTTATTGCGATTCGCTTTGTCGTCGCCAAAAAACAGTTTTAAAGACAATTTTCATTGAGGTTTCCGCAGCTTTTCTCCCCGACAGCACCCACTTGGCCCCACCCTTCACCAACAACCATAACATTTAATTTACTTAAGTTCACTAAGCCGCTTTCGGGCCAATCACTTTGACGAATATTGTGTCTGGGCCGCATTTTAATTAAATGTGCGAGAATAAATCCATGTGCAGTTTATATGGTACATATATCTGCGGCCTGGGGCTTATCCTTTTGTCATTTTGCCCTGTTTTTGTGTGTGTCTTATGTTTGATTGATGGGCGCTTGTGCAACTTTTTGTGGCCAGCAAGTCAACGCGAATTGATTTAATGCGAAATGCATTTGGTTTTATTATTGCTTGTTGTTGACTCTCGTTTTGATGGACAATCCGCGGACACATTGGTTCCGTTGATTGCATCTGGTCATAAATATAAATTCTTAAAAGCCCATATGATTGAGTTGCAGTCCTGCAGGCGAAATAAATGTTCCTCCGGACAGTGTAAATCATGGCGCTGACGAATAACCGGCAATAAATAAAGCACTTATTGAAAAACAATATATTTGCAAAATAAACATTTCTAGAAATACATAAAATACATTTTTTTATTTATGCTTTTATTGTTTTCTTTGAATTCCTTTTTGTGATTCGTGTACATTTTCAAAGTTGAAATTGTTTTAGTTTCCCTTTCATTTTCGAATTCAAAGCAAACCGAAATAAAATCAACAAAAATTCAAATATTTTTCGCTTTTTTTCTAAATAAAAATGCATTGAAACTAGGGCGGTGCCACGTCCAAATAGAAAGTACACAGAAACTCCACTTTGGAAACATTTTTGCGGCGGTTAAATAATTGCATTTTGCAGCCTTTTGAAGCGCGTACGAACTAATTTTTTGACTTTCACTAAAAACTAAAAGAACAAGAATAAAAGTGGTTTGTTGTTGCAGAAAATTCGCCTTTTGTCCTTTGAGGCAACTTTATTTTCGCGCATTTACTGTTTGTATACAATAATAATAATAAATTGTGTGGCAATTCAGAAGTCGGCTTTTGTCGCTTTGGCTTTCCCCACCTCCTTTGCCACGCCCACTTGCCTGCCCCCCCGTATCATTCCTGTAAACTTTCACTATTTGTGTTTGTATTTTGCGGGACCGGAAA